TGTCCTAGCCGCTGTAGACCTCCTCGGGAAGCGGAGCCTGTCCGATTTGCAAACTCGGCCAAGCAACGACCCTAGACTTTTTGGCTCTGCGCGTCATCAGCAGCACTGAGCGCTAACCCCAGCATCGCTGCGCACCCCTAAACTCCAAACCCTAAAGCCTAGATATTGAAAACCTTTAAACCCAATGGACCCCTAAAGCCTGAGCCTATCCATAGGCTCCATGGTAGTTCGTTCTTGTGGTTCATATTTAGGATCCTACACGGTAATCCCAAACAGGAAGTAGAAGGGAGCCCATGGGTAAGGGATCGTAAACCCTAAACCCTAAACACTAAACACTATAAACCCTAAACCCTAAACCCTTAACCCTTAACCCTAAGCCCTTAACCCTTAACCTCAAATCCTAAACCCCTAACCCTAAACCCTAAACCCCTAAACCCCCAAGCACGTCTCTCTTTTCCCGGGGCATCTTGAGGACTTCTGGCACAGATGCAGAGCCGCTGAGCCGCAGCTATTCCAGTGAGCCCCACATGGAATCTCTAAGCAGGATGATACCAGTAGGTGCCTGTATGGCGCCTGTGGGGTCTATAGGGTCTAGGATTTAGGGCCTAGGGGCTTGAGGATAGTTCTGCTCTGCCATCTTCTCTACTCCACGCCGTTTCAGCTTAGATAGCCGGAAGGTTTAAACCCTAACACCCGAAACCCTTCAACCCTTAAACCCTTAAACCCCTATAGAAGCCCTAATACTCCCTAAACCCAAAATCCTTCGGAAGGTCCCCTCTGCAGAGTTTTGCTAGGCCCCTGGCGCTCTTCCGGAACGGAGAGATGACGTACCTGGTCTTGCTCTCAGACCCTTCGACGCCTTAGATCAGGGGTCAGGGGTACGGGCTTATATGGGGGTTTCCGAAAATAATCCTGAGAAAAGAAGCCCAAAATAAGGTACCCCGAATATTCGGAAACTCCCATCTATGGGAAGCAAGTCAAGCTTTACGTATGGGATGGGGGTTTGCCTAGGGGTTTATGGGTTTAAGGTTTAAGGTTTAGGGTAGGTACATGGAGTTGCACAGCGGTTTTCACAAAGCATGTGAATATGCCGGCCCTGCGCCTCAGGATGCGCGATTTCCGCAGATGCCCGGCTGGGGTTGGACCTTCGAGCGGATCGCATGCTACTGCTGGCGGGCAGCTTGCCTGCACATCTCCACCACTGATCGTTTCGGTGAGCTGAAGAAGCAACACCGTGTGCCATATTGCATTATTATTGCAGCACTATCAGATGCCATAGCGAGAGAGAGAGAGAGAGAGAGAGATATATATATATATACACACACACAAACTGCAGTATCGTTTTGGCCACAATAGGTTATAACATACTACAATAACTACTGAAACTACTGTAATGCTGTAACACAACGACACGATTTGTCTTGTGCCTGCATTGCACGTCGCCAGGAGGCGACCGCTCCAGCCGATGCCGTGCCGGTGCACTGCTGGCGTGTCTCGGCCGTAGGTTTTAGGGTCCTGTGCATTTCCCATGCGAGGGCATCGCTGCTGAAGATTCGGCTGCGCTAGTAAACGCTTCGACTCGAGGTTCTTGAGGCTTGGGTCTCGGGTTTTTTGATTCAAAGACCAAAACTTCCAAAAAACCACGTATTTTCCCCTAAACCCTAAACCCTAAACCGCCGCGTTTTGTTGATAGGCAAGGGAGAAGCCGCCCTCTATGGCATCGCCGGCTGCGAGTCCGCAGCGTGCGCCGACGGCTTTGCCTTCGAGTCTCTGGAGTCCTGCCTCGGTCCAGGGTTCAGGTTTTGGGGTTTTGGGCTTTGGGGTCCCTAAACCCTAAACCCTAATTGAACCCTAAACCCTAGACCTACCTCGGTCCAGGGTTCAGGCTTTTGGGGTTTAGGGTTTAGGGATTCAGGGTTTAGGGCTCTAGGGGTTCAGGGTTTTCGGGTTTTTATGGGGAGGGTTTTAGGGTTTTTTGGAGTCCTGGGTTTTTGAGTTTGGCTTTTACACTTAAGGGTTTTGAATGCAGCTTTCGGGCTTCAGGGTTTAGGGATCTTCTGGCACGGGTCGTGGCCCCTAAACCTAAACCCTGAAAACCCTATAAGCCCTAAACCCCAGACCCTAAACCCTAAACCCTAAACCCTTATCCATAGGCAGCCGAGCACGGAGCTCGTGATCCCAGAGTTCAGGAACGGGTAGCCCTAAATCATCCTATGCAGGGTTTAGGGTTTGGGGTCCGTGGCCCTTCAACACTTCGCCTTGGGGCTCAACTCCTCAGAGACGCTTGAGCCCCATGGAGCCCTTCTGTCTAGTATTCTGTTATGGGTAGTATAAAAAAAAGCCCATATATCCTAAAACCCTTGGACCCTTTTGGAGGCCATTAATGCCAAGAGCATACCCGGAGCCAAAGGCCTTCTATGCACTGCCACCATCTGCGAGTTCGCCAAGTGAGCTCTCTGCCGTGCATGAGTGGCGAAAGGAGGAGCCGACGAATTCTTTCAGAGTGTAGCAGAGCGCGGATGGAATATCTGAGGGTTGTAACTACCCATTGTGTTGCAGGGTTTGGGAGATACATGTGGAGATGCGTGGTCAAGTTACAGTATCTGCTGTGGTTTCTGCAGATGTTGTCAGCTGATCAAGCTGCGACGAGGCTATCCAGGCTCGCGGCTCACATGTCCCGAAGCATCTGTTGTTGGTGTGCTCCGATGATGCAGCTGCTGCCCAACCGCACGATGTGTATTTAGAGCATGGTGGAGGATAGATGGAGGGTCTAGGAAGACTCAACAGGAGATGACCTACTATGCACGTGACGACTGGGAGGGCTACGGAAGCTTGCCATCGTGGGGTTGGACGCACCACCGAGCCATGTCAGCATCAATCCCGTGCCAGGTGTAGTGCAGAATGAAGGGACGACTGCCATTGTATGAGCTAGATTCTTAGATTGTTAGTCTTTTCGTCGTTTTGCATATCAGCGCCTCCAGGTGAAGGGCTTGGTCAAGAGATATCCGTCCAAGACCTATCTGAATGCTGGGTTTTAGGGTTTAGGATTTAAGGTTGTCCTGAAAGCCGAGGTTTTGAATCTCACAGCTGTGATGCCTTCGCTTCTCCCAGGTGTGGCGTTTTGTGCCCCTTTGTCCTAGCTCAGCTGACGGATGTCCGCTACCTGGCCGTGCAGAGCGCAGGTGGCGCCCTGGGAGTACAGTTCACCGCTGCCTCGTGTCACTTCTAGTAACACTTCTAGAATCCTGACAGGCGAGTCCTTAAAGCAACCTCTATAAAAATCCCCCCATGATCTTATGGAGCCATCCCGTCAGAAGCCCTTTCCTCTTATTAGAGCCCTCTGAGGACCCTATGGACCCAAAAATGTAGTACCTTTTTCTTAAGGATGACTTATCTTATGGCTGGGATCCTAGAAGAAGAAACGACCAAGGGAACCCAAAAAAAAAAGGTACAACAGTGAAGGGTCTAGAAACCCGATTTAAAACCCTAAACTGTGCTAGGTAGAGTCTGGGCATCTTAATGGAGTTTACTGTAGGCCGTGTGCTACGGGTGGTGGTGCATTTTTGACGCTTTTGCCCATATAAACCCCATGCCCCAACCCCACAAACTCCTTCAGCCCTAAACTCCACCCCAAAAAACCCTAAATCCTTAAACCCCAAAGCCCCAAACCCCTAAACCCCAAAACCCCTAAACCCAAGGCCTACATTAAGCCCTACACCCCGAAGCCCCAAGCCCCAAAAGTCCGAGAGTCAGAGCTCGGAGGCCTTTGAGGCCGAGCTCCTGGGGCAAAGATGACGCCAAAGAGCCCCGGGGCCCCGCGGCTGCTGGCCGGGAGAGGCTCCAGGGGTTCAGGGGGCTTACAGGTTTATAGGGTTTGGGGTCCTAGGGTTTGGGGTTCAGGGTTTAGGGTTTGAAGGTTTAGGGTTTATAGGGTTTAAAAATTTTGGGGTTGAGAGGGTTTAAAGGTTTAGGAGTTAAAGGTTTAGGCTTTAAAGGTTTAGGGTTTGGGGTTTAAAGGTTTAGGGTTTGGAGCTCCCAGGGTTCCAAGTTCACAGGGTGTGGGGTTTAGGGTTTCCCTGGTATGGCACTTAAAGTTTCTAGGGCTTCGATCCCGTAGAGGGTTTAGGGTTTAGGGTTTTTAGGGTTTAGGGTTTCGGATAGGGTTTACACGGTTTCGGGTTTAGGGTTGAGGGCCCGGCTTGCCGCGAGGAGTCAGAATTCTGGAAGTTTGCAGGGTCGAAAATGTTGTAGGGGTTGCCGTGAAGTGTGCAAGGCTTAGGCTGGGACCAAGGTGTTCAGGTCGTGGTCGCATGTAGCCTTGCTGCAGGGTTGAAGGGCAAGAGGTGTTTTGAGGTGCTCCTGACTTCTTCCTTCCACTGCAGGTCGCCTCCCAAAACACTGTCCCGCACCCTAAACCCCTGACCCCCTGACTCCAGGAGTCTTTTGAGTTTTCGGCCACGTCAGCCTCGAGATCTTGGATGAGATCGCGAAGTACAGGACCTCAGGAGCCCGCGTGGGGTTTGGTTTTTAAAGGCCTTAACATAGAATCTCCCCGAAGTCCCCCCTCGCAATCTTGGCGTCTTGCCCCCTAAACCCTTTTAAACCCTATAAACCTTAAGCCCCGATATAAACTTTAAACCCTAGAAGCAAAACCCTAAACCCCATAAGCGCTACACCTTAATCCTATAAACCCTAAACCCTAAACCTATAAACCCTATAAGCCCTCTAAACCCAAAACCCTGCAAGCTGAGCGGAGGCCCAGCCCTGCGGCCCGGCTTCTCCGACCTCTTGTGGCCCGGGCCCCAGCCCCTGGCAACTTCTGTGGGAACTGCGTCTCGCCCTTATGAAGTCCGAGTTAGGGGCAGGACGAGTTAACGAAAGCATCTGTTCTTGGTGCATCTGCACATCTCTTCAACCTGCAGCGGATCTTTGTCCTGAAGGGATACCACTATAGAGCAGAAGGTCATTGAAGTTGCGACGGCTCCCCGCTCCGCTCCGCCATGGCCCTGAGCTCCCTCGGACTCCATCTGCTGGCGGTGGCCTCCACTCCACTGCTGGCGCCGGTGTGTGCGGAGGAGTCTCAGGCGCTCGAGTACCTCGGCACCGGCTACAACATCATCATCGGGGACCCTCACACGGTGCGTGACAGAGACCCCGGGTGGCAACGGGACATCATCTCGCGCAGCTACCTGAAAGAAGAGTGGGTCAAGTCTGATGGGAGGTGCTCGTACGATGCGAGCAACTTCCAGATCACCGGCGCCAAGAGTGCACAGAAGTCCATGAAGAGCGAGTGGAACACTAAAACAAGCGTCGGCCTCTTCAAGATCATCCAGGCGTCGTTCACAGCCAGCTCTTCCGTGCAGGAGATGGACAAACCAAGCCGGAGCTATGGCTTCACCTACTTCGAGACGCGGGCTGAGTGCCACTTGAAGACCGCTACGCTCCCGGCGCCCTCTGTCAAGTACGACTTCACCTCCGACTTTGAGGCAGCTGTGAAGGCCATCCCAACCGATGCATCGACGCAGTGGGTCATCGACAATTTCATTGGGTACTTTGGCACTCATTACACGGACACAATCTGCTCCGGCGGGCTTATGGGCAAAAGATCTTGGATGAGCAAGCAGAGCTTCGATTCTCTTTGGCTTCAGTCTGGACATTGCCGCCAAGCTCGCTTTCTGGAAATTCTCCGATCCCCACAACTCCGAAGGCCACACCACCAACGACGATGCCACGACAGCTTTCCAGGAAGCGATACAGTCGGGCGGAAGCTCGAGCTTCTGTATTGGCTGCAGCACCTTCGTGCCGGGCGACGCGGAGAAGTGGGGTGATCAGGTGAAGGATAACTTGGAGCCCATTGGCTCCTCCAGCAACCTTCTGGTGGCCATCAGCGAACTGCTCATTCCGATCCATTTCCCGAACGCCGACGCGCAGGTCCTGAAGCTCCAGAAAGCCACGGTGGAGCGCGCCCTCGAGGCGCTCTGCACCGCCTATAAGAAGGAAGGCTGCACCACGAACCCCAAGGACCGGCTCGACATCCCACCGCGGACCATCCTGGAGGGCTCCTGGGTAGAATCCGTGCAGTGGTCTCCCGATGGAGGGACCCTGGCCTCCGGCACCGGCGATCAATTGGTGCGTTTGTGGGATGCCGTCACCGGCCGGTTGTTGCGGAGCCTCCCCGGCCACACCGACCTGGTGTATTCGGTGGCCTACAGCCCGGATGGCACCCACATCCTTTCAGGAAGTAATGACAAGACCATCAGGGTCTGGGATGCCGTGAATGGCACGTGCTTGCAGACCCTCACCGGCCACAACGATTCGGTGAATTCGGTGGGCTACAGCCCGGATGGCACCCACATCCTTTCAGGAAGTTACGACGAGACCGTCAAGGTCTGGGACGCCGTGACCGGCACGTGCTTGCAGACCCTCACCGGCCACACCGACCCGGTGAAATCGGTGGCCTACAGCCCGGATGGCACCCACATCCTTTCAGGAAGTAATGACAAGACCATCAGGGTGTGGGACGCCGTGACCGGCAAGTGCTTGCAAACCCTCACCGGCCACACCAATGCGGTGAAATCGGTGGCCTACAGCCCGGATGGCACCCACATCCTTTCAGGAAGTTGGGACCAGACCCTCAAAATTTGGGATGCCGTGACCGGCAACTGCTTGCAGACCCTCACCGGCCACACCTATTTGGTGACGTCGGTGGGCTACAGCCCGGATGGCACCCACATCCTCTCAGGAAGTGGGGACGAGACCATCAAGGTCTGGGACGCCGTGAGCGGCATCTGCTTGCAGACCCTCACCGGCCACACCTATTTGGTGACGTCGGTGGGCTACAGCCCGGACGGCGCCCACATCCTTTCAGGAAGTGAGGACAAGACCATCAGGGTGTGGGACGCGCCAGCAAAGCTTCTCCAGACCTTCGTCTGATAGCTCGTGGCGCTGCTTGGGCGTCGCTGAGAACTACACAAAATCGTAGAGCCTCGGGCGATGAAAACAAGCCTCGACCGCGGAGCTTGGCTTTCAGGCCGATACGCGCATTAGGCCTTGGAGTTAGAATTTAGGGTTTAGGGCTTATAGGCTTTGGAGTTTAGGCGTTGAGGTGTTGTTGATGTTTAGAGTTTCATTGCAGCCTGTGGTTTCCTGTCTACTTCGGCCTTTGAGGTTTCCGGTGTTCCGGGCTTCTTGTCGAGCAGGACATCAGTTAGAAGTTCAGGGGTGTCGACGTAGAGCAACTTGCGATCACAGCACGAGTTCCCCGTCGCTGTGAAGGGAGCGGCATCAGGTTATGATCGGATTGGTACCTCGGTGTGTTTGCGAATCAGATCCAGCAGTTTCTAGCTCCTGAGCTCGCGAAAGTTCTGTTGTTGCAGTGAGAGCCATCAAAGCCCGGATTCTGAACCTCAACAGCATTCGGCCTTGGCTCCTCCCCAGGCCTTGTGTTTCGCGCCCCCCGTTGGCCCAGCTCATCTGACGGATGTCCGTCGGGAGCTCGGATGACCCGGTGGGTTTAGATTCATAGGACCCTTAACTGGGCTCTTGTTGAGGGATTTAGTTCAAGTTACTATAATCATTATTTACTGTAGATCCCTATTATTGTAGCTTAAATAATGATAAACACCCTTAACAAGAGCCCAGTTAACTCTTACACTCCGAGAGCTGCCTTGGTGTTTAGCAACCTTTTTGGCACAACCCTTGTAGTGAAGTGGGCCGTAGCATCCGAGTCTCCAGAGCAACGAGACTCGGAACCCGAACTCCTGAGGCAGAGATGCCGGCAAAGAGGCCGAAACTGGCGACAAGAGCTGTTCAGGGAGAGACGCTCTTGGAATGGGGGCGCAGGAGGGAACTTCAGCTGTGACTTCGAAGTGCAGGTGCTATTGCAGCTGCTGCCTGTGGCTGTGAAAGGGGCAATATGATCCTTTCGGTGGGTTTGCAAATCAGCGCCCTATGGTCGAAGCCAAGGTTCTGAACCTCAAAGCATTGATGGTTTTGCTCTCCAAGGAATGATGACACCCTAAATTCCCGAAACTCTAAACCCTAAGACCTTAAACCCTAGATCCTAAACCCTAACCCCTAAATGCTTCGTGGAGCAGTCCTAAAAGTCCTAAAGTCCGGATCTCCAGACCCTAAACCCTAAACCCTAAACCCTAAACCTCAGAGCTTAGAGACTGGGCTCCAGGTGCTTCTGGAGCAGTCCAGAGCTCGAGACGGAGATGAAAAAAGCGAAGATTGGCAGCGGCAGCGGGAGGAGAAATGTCGGGTTTGGGGTTTAGTTCTTTAGGGTTTAAGGTTTAGTGTTTAGGGATTGGGTTTTGGGGTTTAGGGTTTAGGGATTAGGGTTTAGGGTTTAGGGCCTAGGGGCAGCCTGAGTGGGTTCTGCAGTTCTGGCACTGGTTCCTTCCTGTAAATCTGGATATCTGGCATCACCATAACGAACATTGCACGTTTATGTATAAGTATTCTCTGAACCCTGAAGCCCTAAGCCCTAAACATGTCCATGTACATTTCTGAAAGATCTTCTTGCCCTGCGTCAACTCGTAGGTTTGTCGTTGTTCGCTGACAGGCTTCGTCCGGGGAGTGTGCGGTGTTCTTTTGGTGTACTACCCACACTGGTCTAGGGGCTGAGAGGGTGTAGGCCGTGGGATGACCTTGAAGTCGCCACTCCGGACATGAGCAAGCCTTTCGCCTAAGCCCCTTCTGGAGTTCAACGCACATACAAACATGAAACTACAAATCCCTACCCAACATCCCATGAAAGCCTTATCAACCGCTTTTAATCCTCTATAATCATGTGATTCTATTGTAACTTCATAATGATTCATAAAAATTTAAAACCTATGCATCCCAGAATTCTATCGAGGCCACTGGCTTCGATGGCAAGGGTGGCCAGGACCGAAATAGGTATCCCTGCAGGGGTCTTCACAACAAGGGTTTAGGGCTCTAAGCCGTAAGCCCTAAACCCCAAACCCCCAAAAGCCCTAAACCCTGAACCCTGAACCCCCAAAAGCCCGAAACCATAAAACCCGAGACCCTAAACCAAATACCCTAAGGCCAAGGATCCTGGAGGTCGATGGGATGGCTTTTGCTCGAACGATCCGATTTTTTTCTAGGGTCGACCTTAATTAGGGTTTAGGGCTGTAGGGTTTAGGGTTTTAGGGTTTTAGGGTTGAGGGTTTTAGGCTGTTCTAATAATCCGAAGCTTCTGGGGTCGAAGCCGAGACGAGAAAGTCACAGCATGGGGTTGAATGAATTGCTCAAGCCTGCAGAGGCCCATCACTACAGCCGAAACATACACCCCCTAAACTTAGGCCCTAAACACGATTAACGCTCGAGTTCTACACCCTAAACCCAACCCTATTCCCTAAACCCTCGACCTAAATAAACCCTAAACCCTAAAACCTTAAAAACCCTAAAACCTCAAACCCTAAAGCTCTAAAACCCTAAAGCCCTAAAGCCCCTAAACCCTAAAACCCTAAAGCCTAAAACCCTAAAACCCTAAAACCCAAAGCCCTAAAACCCCTAAAACCCCTAAACCCCAAAACCTAAACCCTGAACCCTAAAACCCTAAAATCCCAAAACCCTAAACCCTAAACTCTAAAACCCTAAACCCTAAAACCCGAAATTCCAAAAC